CTTTTATCAACAGCGAGACATTTTGTCGGAATAAACTATGAGACGTAACTTAAATGTCTGACAGTGTTCATATTATTTAATTTCACCCAATAATATGATATTAACCATTATTTAGGATAGGTTAACTAACGTTAAGCTAATAAACGTTAACGTTAGCTCTCTCCTAGCAATTCAGTTTTGCTAACAAGTTAACCGGCGTCACTTGACGTTAGCTTACGTTATTTTGCTAGTTAGTAATATGACCTACCTTAATTATTTCCTACGAAACATGTCGAAATAACTACCAAGCAAAAACATTTAAGGTTGTCACGACATTATGTCGTTAAACAACGGTCAGGTAGTTACTCACCTTAACGGTTTTACTATTGGTGTGGGGGCGCGTGCAACAACTGTCCCGTTCTAAAATGTCACGTGACATTAACGGTTCATTTCAAACTTGGTGTTAATGGCCGCTCCGATGATTAACGTTAGATCCATTATCGGACAACAGCACCAGCTCTTATGGAGTCTCCTCGGACACACTCGCAGGAGATGCTCGATTTGCGTGTATAATTAATAATGTTATGTAACGAAACAGCACTGAGGATACAGTGTTGGAGAGTAACCTGTTACATGTAATTAAATCACAAAATAAATGACATAGTAATCAGTTACTGTTACTGAGAAAATAAAATGTGTAAGCTAAAAATTAAAATATTGGTGATTACAAAGGGGTCACATCTGGATACATTATTTAAAGTTAAAAAGTTTATATGCAGAGCTCAATATCCATTGTTACTTTGCAGCTTTTGTCTAAACAGTTGTTTAATACAGTTTAATACATTTGTTAGGAAAGTAATCAAATGTCATAAGTTATATTACTTTGATGAAGTTATCAAAATACTTACATCACTTATTACATGTTTATCAGGGGTACTAGTAATCTATAACCTATCATATTTCAAAAGTAACCTTCCCAACACAGTAAGTTAATCAACTGTCCCTTTGTCACTTGCATAGGTCTGACTACTGGTTGCCATTTAGGGACTGTTCTTTACTTAGAGGAGAGTGGTGACGGGGGAGTGACTTTGTTTTTTTTTAAATTTAGATTTATATATTTATTTTAATTTTGACCTTCCCCAAAGCTACAAATATTTAAATTCTTTGAGTATCTCTGAGTGACTGGCCTAAATGCATGACCATCCCTCCATTATATATTAGTAATATGTTCTTTTTTAAAACGTACCCTTCCATGTCCGAAAGTTAAAAATGAAACTTTGAAGATGAAATCCTGGAGCTGAAAAAAGTTCTATATTTTCCACTCTTGTAATGCATGCTCGTAAGTTGTTTTGTTTTTTTTTAACTTTTGGACAAATTTTAAAAGAGACCCAGAATAAAGTGATTTTGATGAAATATTATAATATATATTACTCTTTTTTTTTCTAGACGGAGATGTTCGACGCACATGATGTGGAGGACAGTTTGAAATTTGAAAATCCAATGATAATTTTTGATCTTACAGTTTCAGGCTATGATAAATAATGTAATTTTGGCAATTTTTCAAGAACACATTCATTCCAGACATGTTTTCTTTAAAAATTTGTGGTAAGATAAATATAAAATACAGCCATTTAAATTTGTATGCCCCTTCCCTAAGCCAAAGTAAAAAAACATAAGTCCCTCCTTAGTGCTTAAAAATTGTTTGACATGCCTCCCCCTTTTTGCATCACGCCCTTCCCTCCAATAAGTAACGAACAGTCCCTTAAGAACTGAAAGGTATTAGCTGACATGTATTAGTTAGATGGCAGAACCAGATCCCTAACTTCTTGTTAGTGTCAGAAGCTCCACCTTCTGGAAGTTGTAGTATTAAAAAAAAATTCACTTCAAGGATTTTGATCTGCCCATCCCTCTTTGCACTCTGCTCCATGCTCTCTCCTGTTGAGTGAAACATTTTCCCTCAGCTTGGGAGAGCATGAAATAAAAACATCTACATACTTCACTCAGTGAGGCTTACCCAAAAGTGTGTTTCTCCTTTCAAGTTCCTTGTTGTTCGCCTCGAGTTTATCCTCAAGCTCCTTGGCCCTTGAAAATGGGTCATGACAGGAACATAACGACATGAGGAAAATTTTGTATTTGGTCAGGAAAATGCTCTGAATTTTCAGCAGCTAATTATACCTCTGTATTTCTAAGGCTAGTGAATCCTGTAACTCCTGAATGGTTGTCTGAATCTGCTCCAGCTTCTCTGCTTGTTGATTTTTAACTCTGCTGAGCTCCTGCAGGCGTAAGTCTTTGTTTCGAATCATCTCTGCATATTCTTCTTTACTTTGTTCCAGCATTGCAGCAATAGCTTCACGATTTTTCTGAGGGGTAGAGACATTTCTAATCAAAGCAGACAATGTATGGCAGAGCCCAGTTTCACTGAAAATGACAAGAATCTCAACACACTCACCTCAGTTTCTTTACAGCGCTGCTCTGTGGTTTGCAGTTTTTGAAGGAGGGATTCCTGAGCGGTTTTTGAGCTTTTGGGAAGTTCATTCTGTTCACCTGAAAAGTTAGTAAATATTTAATGATATAATCCTTGGTCTCCTTCTTTAGTGTCCCTTCAAATGACAAAATGTACTAATACTACAAAATGTGCTATAATTTTAGAGCAAGGTTTACTTTTCCATAAGCAGCTATTGCAAAATACTGACACATTTCACACACAAGAAATAACAACTATTTTAACTTTAGTAATAGTTCAAGTATTTTAGTTGTTGATGTTGCAGTCAAAGCTGCAATGTATGGATGACCTTCCCCAAAGCTACAAATATGTATGCAATGACCTTCTCCAAAGCTACAAATATGTATGCAATGGCCTTCTCCAAAGCTACAAATATTTAAATTCTTCCAGTCTCTCTGACTGACTGGCCTAAATGCATGACCGTCCCACCATTATATGTTAGTAATATGTTCTTTTTTAAAACGTTCCCTTCCATGTCCGAAAGTTAAATATCAAACTTTGAAGATGAAATCCTGGAGCTGAAAAAAGTTCTATATTTTCCACTCTTGTAATGCATGCTCGTAAGTTGTTGTTGTTGTTGTTTTTTTTAACTTTTGGACAAATTTTAAAAGAGATCCAGAATAAAGTGATTTTGATGAAATATTAAAATAAATGATGAAATATTACTTTTTTTTTCTAGACGGAGGTGTTCGACGCACATGATGTGGAGGACAGTTTGAAATTTGAAAATCCAATGATAATTTTTGATCTTATAGTTTCAGGCTATGATAAATAATGTAATTTTGGCAATTTTTCAAGAACACATTCATTCCAAACATGTTTCTTTAAAAATTTGTGGTAAGATAAATATAAAATACAGCCATTTAAATTTGTATGCCCCTTCCCTAAGCCAAAGTAAAAAAACATAAGTCCCTCCTTAGTGCTTAAAAATTTTTTGACATGCCTCCCCCTTTTTGCATCACGCCCTTCCCTCCAATAAGTAACGAACAGTCCCTTAAGAACTGAAAGGTATTAGCTGACATGTATTAGTTAGATGGCAGAACCAGATCCCTAACTTCTTGTTAGTGTTAGAAGCTCCACCTTCTGGGAGCTGTAGTATTTAAAAAAAAAAAACCACACACACAGTGAATAGAGAAAACATAAAATCACAAAGCACCCTTTAACAGTATCAAATTAATTGTGATTTTATATGTTATTCTGTATTTACTGTGTTCCACCCTCTTTCTTGTGTTCTGGTATTGTAACAAGACAAGTATGACTTCCATTTGTTTGCCTCACAGTTTGCCATTCAGTATTTCTGGAGCTATTTCTGGAGCTTCTACCACCAGGGTTGTGCACAGGTGTGCTGCATACAGCCAGTGATTAGACTGAGATTGGTTACTTTTACCTGCCTGTCCATTGTTGCCTTATGTATGCTCTGATAAAGGTCAAATAGACTGAAAGCTCAACAATAAAGTGAAACACTGCATAGATGTAAGCGTGTGGAAACCTCTTTCTACCTACTGTGGTTGTTAGAAAACACCAAGAGCACAGTTAGATTAAATGGCTTTATGCTGTGGAGCCATTTGTCTTATAATACAAGTGTCACAGATGACTATACAAATGCACTTCCTCCATCTGGTCTGCTTAACAAAGGTTAATGACATGATACTGGTGTTGTGACGAAGACAAATAGCGTTAGTTCATCTCTAAAAAACATTTTTCTGATCTCAGATTAATGAGAAACACAAAATACACTTTGTATTCTTGTCAAATGACAGTTTATTTGTTTTTATGGTGTGTTCCATATACAGTAACTTGCAGTCCGTGGCACATTTTCCTACCATGAATAGATATACAATGAGCTTAAAAGCCCTCAGAATCATAGATACTTTTCACCAAAAAATGGACCATACACATGTAAATGAGAAATAGATAATTAATATGAATATATTTGTGGAATTAACAAAGTGATATTGGCACCAAGGATGTCCTCAAACCTTCCTAAACTGCACAGAGCCGACAGGTCCTTGTGAACAGCAGAAAGTCTTTATAAATGGGTCTGAGAGACGGTGATACAAGCATAGTGAGATGAATACTATAATTAAGCACTTTTACAGAAACTCTTTGCAATCGCTTTTAAAAAATAAGAGAGCGGCACTTTGAATGCTCCCTATTGAAAAATAGCTTTAATTATCTGATGGTACATTTTATAAGGTTAAAATACTAGAAATGGTGTGCTGCAAAAAATGTAGTGATACCATCTGAGATTTAAAAAATACCGTAATATCCTAACAGTATAAGTGATATGTAAAATTGTCAACAAAGCACATATAACAGTCCCCATGAGAATACTGGAGGTATTTGAGGCTTTTTGTGGTGGTCTTCCAAAAATGATTCATTATGAAACAGAAGAGGACTAAATAATGTTTATCCACTGTCCTGTTTCACTCAGCCATCTGTTTATATATATACATACATAT